CCGCCCAACACATCAGACAATGTCAAGACAGAACAACTCACACTGCTCTCACCTCTCTACCGTTAGCTTTGCGGCTAACAGGCTTCCTTATGGAGCTGAAGCTACCAATATCGTGTGCTGCGCCATGTCTAAAGCTAAGGTCACTTGTAACTTACAGGATGCCGGAGCAGGAGGTGCACACGAAGGATCCCACAGTCATGTTGGCATAGGTTGGGCCGCGCTGATCGCAGTCAAAGCACTTTCTGTTGGGAGGCAAACTCGTCATTTCTCTCAGCATCTTCAGGTGTTTCTCCTCCTGTTTTCGCTTCGCACTCGCCGCCATGGTTAGGGGATATTACAGCAGCAGGGGCTCAATAAAACCCGGGGAGGGGAGACAAGGAGGGTCAGCTAGAGCTAAAACAAAGGAAGGGCTGGTGCTTTTAAAACGGTCGCCGGTCCGTGATAAAGACAGAGAGGGAATGGGTTGGGGGGCCTTGCGTCTCCTCCTCGAATAAGAAGAGTTTGAGGCGTTGGATTGACGACACTAACGGAACAAGATGAATCCTGCCGTCGACTTCCGGTTCGTTTGATCCCGTTATACAGAGTACACCGCTTCGGTTTTTTGGGCAGGGCCAGATATTGATGACGTTACTTTCCAATATGTTGTAATATTCCCACAAATTCCCCTTAGGTCTCTGTTCATTAAGCCTATTATATATTTAAATGGAGCGTTATTACTTCTTAGTGGTCTACATTAATAATGTTGCTCTAATATCGTGTATGTGATGCGTGGTAACCACTTTTGACTGGCGTCTATTGCGATGTTGTGTTTATATATTCGTTTCTGTATATATTATAAGGTTATGAGGTAAAACAAGTAGTCTATTTAAAGAGCACACGCTGTGACTTGGCCGTGGACTTGCCAATGTAAAACGGAAGGTTAGAAAAGGACGTTAACTGTCTTGTCTCTTAAATGTCTCTTTGGTTGCAATCATGACAGTGCATAGACAGCTACAAGTCTTTCTTTAGCACATCAGCGCCACCCTGTGAATACATATAGTCACTGCAACACTAATTCTTAGTCTTTGTGTATGTTATGCTGCATTTTAGTTAGTTAGTTAAAAAATACCTTAAACATAACACGTAACATATAAGTAACTTAGATGAAACCATGCATGTCAAATCAATGGCATAATAAATAAAATGTGTTATATGATACAGTAAATACTTCTCTTGTGTATAAAAAAAACGAGGGCTGGTCTGGTTACTGCAGAGAATATGAACCATTTCCAGGAATAATACTTCGCACTAGATATTTAAAAATGTACCTAAAGGAATATTCTACATGGAAGAAAATAGACACAATCCACAATAAATCATATTTATAACTTTTTATTACAGATGAACAAAATGTTATAACAGCATAGAGTAAACCAAATGGCAATTAGTAATGAGTATTTACAAGAAAAAACAAACATGAGGGCTGTTTTGTGGCATGTTCTGCTGAACAGCTTGAAGTTTATTAGCCAATGTAATTTATGGCAACTGTGGACTTTACACACTTGAATATATTACATTAAACACTTGATTGATGATGTCCGATATAGTGGAAACCTGGCCCCTTCACCAGTCTTTTTTTACTTTTTTTATACAACATGTTTAATTGGTTCTCTTTTGTCTTGGGGACTGACATTGACATTGGTAAGTAAGGTCAATGGTGACCTTATGCTCCTTGAACTTTTCTCTACAATCCGTATAATAGCATTATCCACACCCAGATGTACTATATCCCAAATGATCTTTCGTCTTCATTCGTGCCACTTTAATGTCCAATTTTCTGCTGCAGCAAAATAGTTTTTAATTCATTAATTGCTGCTGACTGCTTGGATTAATGGCTGCTGATGTGGCTGTAGAGGAGAGAAGTCGAAGGGTCTGTGGTTCTCCGTGTAGCCGTAGAGTTTCCGGAGGGCCACGCGAGCGGCCTCTTCCTCTGCTGCTACGAGCGTCTCCCCCGGACCCTGAGCCAAGAGCTTCTTGTCGCTAAATTTGAAACAAATACACTTGTCAGATGACACACAAAACAATTTGAACAATCAGGTCTTTTAAAAATGATTGGCATCTCAGTCAAACCCTTATAAGTTTAACATGCAACGTGGTTTCATGTCAGCTTCGATTTTTTTTTATGTCAGTAAATCTTAAATGACTGTCACATGGATAACATCTAGGACTTGGGCCATTTATTGGGAAATGACACTTAGATTTTGTCCAAGATTGTGTTTGCCTGGTTGTATAGGCTGCAGTTCAGTGAAGTGCTGTCACTGAACTGTTCTAGCTGCTATGTTATTTGTCTTTACCCACTTAGCCAAAAAATGTAATTATTTATCAACGATCGTGTGAAAGCATCAATGGTCCACCCTACAATATTTATATGGAAGAGGCCGTCACAAAAATCTCAATATCTTATTGTCCGCATAGTACAGCATGCACAACAGCACACATACCTGTACAAGCCCAACAAAGTACCAGCGGTGGCAGGACGGTACTGGCTCCTGCCGCCCTGACGAGCCGAGGCTCTGGCAGGGGAAGGTTCCTCTGAGTGAGTTCCTCCACCAGCAGTCCCATGGGGTCCACAACTGTCCACATGTCAAACAGGTCCTTCCCTATCAGCTGAGTGGACAGGAAATCCTTCGGAGAGGGGAGAAGACAAGCATCATATTGCGGGAAAGACAACTCGAGTTGCCTTTTACAAAATGTTGATTACCCATAACATTCTGCAGCAAGCCTCTTACCCTGAGGAACAATCCGGCGTGCTCGGCTCCACTGCTCTCCTCCAGAGCTCCGATCACAGCCATGAATGTGGAGTGAAGCACGTCGTCAGGAACAGGACACTCCGCGCTCATGGTCAGGTCTTCAATGCCCAGGTTTCTTGCTACATAGGTCACAACTGGTGAGCTGGTGAGGTGCGCTACGACGCTCTCCACCCCTTCTCTCCGCAGCCTGGGGAAGTTGGCCCTGCACCAGTCGGACAGGAAGCTTTTAGTGAAACCCTCTCCCTTTTCACTCAGCTGAATGTTGTCTTTCAGAGCGAGGGCGGTGGTCTCCGAGTCCAACCCCAACGCCCGCCTCCTCTCCAGCTCCGCCTGCAGGTAACAGGGATTGATGAAGGCTCTCTTCAGGGCCTCCAGGGAGAAGTTCTCCTGGAGCCGGGAGCTGAACGCCTGGACCTCAGCATGGAAGTCCCATTGAGGCTGTAGAGAGCTGAAAGGGAGTCACACATGGAGTTAAATCAAAATCCGGATTTACTCTACAAAAATGTCCCAGAATAGGTCTTACATAATTACAAAAAAGGGGTTGTTACTTATGACTTGTGTTGTGTCCCTAACTTACTGTCCACTAAAGTTAATACTTTTCGCACTAACAGGAAGAGTTTAGATTAGATTTAATCACAACAGCATGTAAACAAGGCATTGCACATGTGTAAATGAACAAGAGTATAAAACAAACAAACATCCTAAAAATAGAAAATAAAACACAAGTTAAAAGTGAGGTAGAAAGTAAGGGGGAAAGTTAAGTAAAGCACCGTGAACAGCACCTTTTGGTAAATTCTTAAAATAAAATAAAAAGCACAAATTGGGGCTGGAGAGATGGCATAATGTAACTGTGCACAGTAACCCCTGGGTCCACATTAAAATCAGTAGAAATTGTACCAACACATTTGTACTGATAGAGTGTCAAATATAATTATATTATTTTATTTATCAAGCCAACTCTATCGGCTACATTATATAAACACAGTGACCAATATCAGTGGTGTAAAGTATCGAAGTAAATACTGTACTTTTACCCAACTATAACTATTGAATACCTTTAGTTACTTTGCAGATTTAGATTAATGATGTGAAATATATTCAACTCTTAAATCAGACTTTAGTTCCACCTGGAGTAAATTCTCAAGCTACCCTGCCGTATACAAAGTAATTCAAACTAGCTGCACCTTTACCATCTTTGACAACACTTTAATGACTATAATAATAATGTTTTTCTGAAAATAGGCTAATATGCATAATGAGTACTTCTGATATGATGCTAATACTTTTGTAATTTTCGTTGAATAACATTTTGAATGCAGGACTTTTACTTGTAACAGAGTATTCCTACACTCTGGTATACTTTTAAGTACACAACGGTAGTACTTCCTCCACCTCTGCACACAGTGACCAATGTGTCAGACGCAATGATGGCCTTGAGATGCTCTCTGGTGAACCCCTGTTAGCTAACGTTAGCTAATGTTAGCCTCACCGTGGCTTCGGAGCTGGAGGTCCTTCCAGCTTCAGCTTCTTCGCCATGAGGTGAGTGTATGATTTCATCCATCGCTTCTTCTCTCTAACCTGTGAAACCGACACGTTTCTGCACACACGCTGACAGTGAATCCCTAATGTTAGCACACCACGATTTAGTAACAATCCGGACGCCATGTTGACCAGTGATAGTAACTGGGTGCAACAGCTTAAACTGTCCGACTTATTATTTTCACGGGTTGCAAGGTTGCAACCAGGGTTAAACGCGCATTACCGCCACCTACTGTGCTGGAGTGTGGACCATAATTATTATAACAAATACAATAAAATGATTAATTATCTTTATTAATATGTTCGTCTTTAATAATATGAGTCTCCCTGACCCGATGTCTAATATTTTGGGATTTTGTTATTCTACTTCAAGCTTCCTGATTTATTTCTTTAACGTTTCTCTTTCTTGCCTGTATGACATGTTCTACTGTTTCCTTGACCTGACAGTGTTCACATAGTCCTGATGGATGTTTCTTCTGCTAAATGCGATGTTTTTATTCAGTCTAGTTTGTCCTATCTAAGCCTTGTTTACAAATGATCTTCCTTGGTGCTCTTTTTGTAGCACTGATAGTGATAGGGTGCAACAGCTTAAACTGTCCGACTCGGAACAAGAAACGGCCCGTTCCTGACGGTTGAGTGAGCGTTACCATGGCAACAAACATAAACGTTAAGTAATGTTAGCTTACGGAGCGGAGAGTGCCGAGTGAACTTTGCCGGACAAAACATCTTGTAAACTGCTAGATTATCAATACTAAACAAGTATTTATAATTTGTATTTATGCTGCTTGTTGATTTGATGTAACTTTTTGGAGGAGTCCACTCCTGAAGTCCAGGAAAAAAGATGGGAGATGAAGTGGATCACAAGATGAAAGATGAAGAAGTCAAGGAAAATATGGAAGATGCCAAAATAACGTCTGTTATAAAAGACACGTTTGATGACAAGATAACATATGAAGAAATCAAGGAAAAGATGGGAGATGAAGTGGTGGACAAGATAAACGATGAAGAAGTGCAGGAAAAGATGGGAGATGAAGTGGTGGACAAGATAAACGATGAAGAAGTGCAGGAAAAAATGGGAGATGAAGTGGTGGACAAGATAAAAGATGAAGAAGTCCAGGAAAAGATGGGAGATGAAGTGGAGGACAAGATCAAATATGAAGAAGTCCAGGAAAAGATGGGAGATGAAGTGGTGGACAAGATAACATATGAAGAAGTCCAGGAAAAGATTGAAGAGGAAGTGGAGGACAAGATAAACGATGAAGAAGTCCAGGAAAAGATGGGGGATGAAGTGGAGGACAAGATAAAAGATGAAGAAGTCCAGGAAAAGATGGGAGATGAAGTGGTGGACAAGATAAACGATGAAGAAGTCCAGGAAAAGATGGGAGATGAAGTGGAGGACAAGATAAAATATGAAGAAGTCCAGGAAAAGATGGGGGATGCTAAAATAACCTCTGTTATAAAAGACACGTTTGACGACAAGATAAAAGATGAAGGACTCAAGGAAAACAAAGAAAACCAGGAACCTCAGGAGGAAATGAAGAAACAGCAATGGCCACGCATGACCAAGAAGTTCCTGAGAGACCACTGTAAGCAGCTCAAACTCTACCGCACACCTCACCTGAATGACACCCTGTACCTGCACTTCAAAGGCTTCTCCACCATCGAGAACCTGGAGGAGTACACAGGTCTGAAGTGTCTCTGGCTGGAGAGCAATGGGCTTCACCGCATCCAGAACCTGGACGCCCAGGCAGACCTGCGCTGCTTGTTCCTCCACCAGAACATCCTAGAAAAGCTGGAGAACCTCGACCCTCTGGTGAAGCTCTGCACCCTGAATGTCTCCAACAACTTCATAAGCACCATAGAGAACCTCTCCTGCCTCCCGGAGCTGAGCACTCTGCAGATAGCCCATAATAAGCTGAAGACCGCGGAGGACATCGAGCATCTGAGACACTGTTGTGCAATCAGTGTGCTGGACTTGTCCCACAATCTGCTCCAGGACCCTGAGATCCTGCTGGTGCTCGAGGCCATGCCAGAACTCAGAGTGCTGGATCTGATGGGAAACGAGGTGGTGAGAAGAATCCCAAACTACAGGAAGACCATGATCGTGCGTCTGAAGCAGCTCACCTTCCTGGACGAGCGCCCCGTGTTCCCCAAAGACAGGGCCTGTGCAGAGGCCTGGGCCGTGGGGGGGCTGGAGGGGGAGAGTAAAGAGAGGGAGCAGTGGGAGACACGAGAGAGGAGGAAGATGCAGGACAGCTTCGATGCCATGACAGAGATCAGAGACAGAGCCCTGGAGAGAAAACGCCTGCGAGAGCTGAAGGAGAAAGGTAAACAAACATGTTGCTCACATACATGGATATGCATCTGTAGGAGAAGGGGGGGGGGGGAGTGGTGAAGTACTTGTAGGCTACTTAAGTAGATCCTTCTGGTATCAGCACTTAACTCCACTATTTATTTTTCTGACAACTTTTTAATTTCTAACACAAATACCTACTTTTTACTGGCTACATTTTTTAAATAGGCACGTTACTTTGAATCTGCATTTGGTGGCGTGATCATTATTATTTACTGTCATTGCGCGCCTGTTTCGTCCTAATGTCAGTGGAAAATATTCCGTTACAAAACTGCGATGATAGCAAGTAATCATTCAAATAATTGATAGTGAATAATTATTATGCCATACGTATACCTGGTTTGTTGGAGCTACACATTGTTTTTTTTTTATGTAAAGGTCCCCTATTATACTGTTTTTCATTACTTTATTATAGGTCTCAGATACAAAACATGTTTCTAGTGTTTGGCCTCGAAATACTAAACAGATCATGCTTTGTAGTAGGTCTGCACGATATATTGTGTCATGACGATAATCGCGACATGCGCGATATTCACATCGCAGGACGTGCGATTCTTTTAATTATTATTTTTCTAAATATATATTTTTTTAAGACGTGCGATATTAAGTAGGCAAATTAACTCAAACACGTCATGTTACAATTCTTTTGCTGCTTGCTACAAAAGGAAAACTTGCGGCTCTCATGTCAGNTACCCCACCTTTAAGTACGTTTCAAAGCCCAAACTTCTATACTTTTACTTGAGTAAAGAAGTTTATTCAAATAGGGGAGTATTTTTAAACACAAGTATCTGTACTTGTACTTTAGTGAAGGATGTGTGTACTTCGGCCATCTCTGGAAGCCATGAATATCAGAGACTGGGGACTTCTGTTGTACATTGAATAAGGTTTTTGATATAGCAAAGACAACCAGGCCCGACCTCAGCCTCTCAGCGCCTTTGGTTGTTCCTGAAGTCGCTCCAGCATCTTTTAACATTGTCATATTTTTGTTCAGGGTTGACTGAGGGTTCCACCTCTCCAGAGACTAGTGAGGATAATGAAACCCAGGTTGTGACTCCATCAAAAGAAGGGCTGATCGAGTCGTTCGTGCAGGACTGCCTGGATGTTCACGAAGAGTTCTTGCAGAGTGAATCCACACAGGGGTCCGATGAACATCTGCCAAACAGTGAACATCTGGAAGAAGTTGAAGGTCTACAGAGGGAGAAGTTAGAGGAAGATGACCTGGAGACATCTGTGACGGAAGAGAAAGAGAATCCAGAGCAGGAAAACATGATCGAGCAGTTTGGAGAGAAGCAGCCGTCTCCGGTTGAAGATGCTCTACCACCACATGGTCCAGGACCGCTGGTTACAGAGCTGGAGGATGACGAGCAGCTGGAGACCATTCACCTTCCTCTGCAGCGCTCACTGCGCATCGAAGACCTGCCTGACCTGGAGGACGTGGACACAGAGGACTACACTGCCATGTTCTCATCTCAGCAAGCTTACAGACCTAAGATAGAAGTCATATCAGGAAGCAGTGAGGAGGAGGAGGAGGAGGAGGAGGAGGAGGAAGAAGAAGAAAAGGAAGAGGAGGAAGAATCCACGGAGAGCGACAGCGATAACAGCCCCAGCTTCGGTCAGGATGAAATGGCATCGTTCTTAAAGAGCGGATCCTCTGAGGTCTCCAACAGCTCCTATGCTTTAGTGTATCCAGGAGATGGGGCAATCCATTCTGAGCCAGTGCTGAGGATCAAACCAAAGCAAACCCCCGCTCCACCTCGCTGCCTGATTGAGGAGGTGGAATGATGCTAATGATGATGCTACGTATGCTAATAAGCCGAGTGAGACCAAAAAGAGCCCCATCATCATATTTAGCTGTTGTTGTATTTAATGTGATTAGTTGACTAGCTTATTTTTGTTTAAACATTTCAAAGCCAGTTTGTTCCTATGGTTGTTGATTGTATCGCTATGAAAACAGAATAAAGTTTACATTATTAAACGTTTTCTTTGTAATATTTGATTTTTTTTCTCTTACACTTTTATATTAGGGTGGCCTTGAAGTAAATCATATTTTTTTCAATAAATTGTAAGATAGCTACTCTTACTTTTAGGCATTTTTAGAGCATTCAACGACAGGATTATTCTTAGGGAAATTAGCATTCAAGCTATCAGGGTTAAGAAAAACCAAAAAAACGATGTCAGTCAAATTTGAGATCAATATGGTCTATACTTACGTAACAGCAAAATTGTGTGGAAAGATGTGTGTGTATAACTTAATGCATCAATAATAATAATACAGGACAACATGTGATACGTATGGTTTTACTAAATTGTTTTACATTTCCCAGTTCAGGTCACATATTACTCTCTTTCCAATAAATATCCAACATGTTTGCACCCCCACACTGAAGCGCTATTGTACATATTTTGGTAAACTATGCTTTTCTGAATGACTTATTTCTCTTGGTGACACGGACAAATATTTACAACAAGTCATGCTTTAGCGTTGAGCGAGAAGATTTGTAATAAAAACAAAACATAGGACAACATGGGACAGGATGACATAAGCGTAAAAAAATAAAACTGTACATGTATTAAATAAACCAAATCAAAGAAAAAGAGTACGCCCTGTGTGGAGCAAGCCGTGTACATGTGGGATGTCCTCACACAGGGACTGAGTGCAGCGAGTATAGCTAATATTTGACACATAGAGTAAGGGATGGTACGTTCTTCTGTCTCGGTGACGGAGGGAACGCAGCTCTAACGTCTCAACCACACCCAGGTGTTGACCAGCCAGAAAGCCACGGTGACGGAGTACAGGATCATCTCTCGCTTCGCACGCTCCTTGTTCTCCTCCTCCAGATGCTGAAGTCTCCGGTTCAACTTGATGAGCTGCAGACAAATTACACATAAAACTATTCTCAGTCACAGTGGCTCAGGATTAGCTCTCGCACCATACGTAGAAATACTGTTTATTTGTATAGCGGTTAGCAGCTGTATTCGATAAATAGGCTCAACACTTTGTCATATCAGACTATCAGAAGTAAGATCATAGTGGAAAATATTCCGTTACAAAACTGCAATGATAGCAAGTAATCATTCAAATAATTGATGGTGAATAATTATTATGCAATACGTATACCTGGTTTGTTGGAGCAACACATTGTTTTTTTTTTATGTAAAGGTCCCCTATTATACTGTTTTTCATTACTTTATTATAAGTCTCAGATATATACAAAACATGTTTCTAGTGTTTGGCCTCGAAATACTAAACAGATCATGCTTTGTAGTGAGGCTGTACGATATGTCGTGTTGTGACGATAATCGCGATATGCGCATGCAGGACGTGCAATTCTTTACATTAAAAAAAATATATATATTTTTGTTTTTTCAAAAATATATATATTTTTTTTAGGACGTGCGATATAAAGTTGGCAAATGAACTCAAACACGTCATGTTACAATTCTTTTGCTGCTTGCTACAAAAGGAAAACTTGCGGCTCTCATGTCAGGGGTACTTGAGTGAGTGACAGCAAACCACCAATCACAATCAAATCTCTAAAGCAAACAGACCCGGTGATTAAAAGGTAAAAACACTGAATAAAGTTGCTTCATGTGTTTCTCCAGGGCAGTTCGGCGCTGCTAACCGCGCACGTTGTTTTCTTAGTTGGGGGTTTTTCTGTCTCCATGACTTACTCTGTGTCCAAAGCGTACACACACTCATCATCAAATGCTCCCAACAGTTCAACTGGGCCGTCAGATCTGAATAAAGGATCTGATTATAACTCAAACAGGAAATAACAAACACTTCCTCCCTCCCTCCTCCTCCTCCTCCTCTTCCTCCTCTGTGCCTCCTGCTCCTCTTTGGTGTTTCTGTGTTTTACTCAGAGATGAATTCTGTCAGTGAGCTGAAACACCGACACCAGCAAATCTGTTGATTATCATTTTGAAAAATCATGCAGCAGGATTATTGTTGTTTGATTTATTTCCTTGTGGCTTTGACGCTTTTTTGCATTTACGAAAAATATTTTCTACTTTTTTGCTTTGATTGTCATTTTCTGTGACTGTTCATATTTCTCTATCTCTCATCGCTCCACCTGGACCAAAGACCTCTTCAAGGGAGATTCAACATGTTACAGACTACTTTAATACAACATTATATTACTATTCATTTAGATAATATAGGCCCTTTTTCATTTAATTTAAAAACATCATGTTCTCTTGAGATTAACAGAAAAACATTTAAAGGGGACCTATCATGCAAAAGTCACTTTGTGATGTCTTTTATACATAAAGATGTGTCCCCGGTGTGTCGGGGAACTCAC